GTGATAAATAATGGCTGGTCCCTCTATTAAATTTTTCTGAAATGTTTTGGCTTACAGACCTGGAGCTTGGAAAACTGGCAACGGGATTTGGCCTCCTAAAGTTGCCCATCATGCCAGAGCTTAAGGATAAGAGAGTAGATTTTGAGCCAGTGGATGTAGATGTTGATAAACTTTATTACAAGGACAAAAACAGAGAAAAGCAAAGAAAAAGAAAGCTGCTGGAATCGAGCGAGACTGGTTCTGATCCAACAAGTTCGAAGAAAAAGAAATTCCGCAAAGAGACCGTCCCGTGGTCTAAGAACAAAGAGAGAAAGGTCAAAAGAGAGAAGCGGAAGGCGCGCAGAGAATTTCTCAAAATGCAGCTCCAGAAACATAGGTATGATGAAGATGAACTTGAAGATCTTGCGCGTGACGCGCTCTTAGTGAAAAAACTCAAGGCGGGAAAGATCAGTAAAGAAGAGGTGGATTCGCAATTAGGAAATGACGAAGAAACAGCTCTTGATTTGTCAGAACTAGCGTAACGAACCGCCCTGTTTGTAAATGAAAGGGTAGCCCCAGTAATTAACCATTCTTCGTCTAGAAGTCTGGCCTAATTGCGAGGATGACAAATTAATGAGGTCGGCGGAGGGGGGACCCCCCTCTCCTCACTAGTTTGTTAGTTTGTTGCTCTAGGCTTCCCTCGATTTTGCCTGCTTAATGTGGTGGCTTCAACAAATGCTCATAAGATTTAGCGTTCGTTCGGTATAAAATTCGCCTGATTTGCAGACTGTTTCCCATTCCATTTAGAAAAAGTTGGCTGTTTTTAGGATCCTGAGGAAACTACTCGCGGAGTGCGACTACATTTTGCGTGGTCAATATGGCAGACGATCGTATAGAACTGTTATTTGCAATCCATTTGGTACTGAACTCGCAGGAGAATTGCGTGCCGAAGTCTTGCGTCGTTGTTCAGACACTGACGTCGATCCAAACAAGGTCAGTGTCACAATTCAATCCTGGGTTAGGCTTAACACTCTATCAAAACCCCCCCGTATGCTGTTATTTTGTAGGAAATGCTCTGCTGTTTTTGCTTCCTGCTGAAGAATCTTACGTGGAATTTATATCCATAAACCAAAAGGTGGGTTAACTCTTTAACCATTAAGAGTGACAGGCGTCATATTTCTTCTCACATTTTCACCCTTGAATCAAATGCAACGTTCATAAGAATAAAGAAAATGATCTCCAATTTAAGAAGCTCCTGATTGTCAAACAAATTCTCCTTGTCAGTATCATAGGAAATATAAAGAGATAAGAGTGGAGAATGTGAATACTGATGTGAAGGTGTAAAGGGTTAGATATGGATTATCTCTCTCGGTGCCATTGCTGGCCACAAGCATCTGAACAAAAGTTCTCTTGGGAGAGGGGTAAGGAGGGGTGAATTTTTTTCACCCTCGTTGTCTCTCATTTCTACAGGTCCCTCTTCAGTCCTTCGAAATAGAAGGTGAAGTGACAGATGTGACACCCAAGCTAAGACAGATGGCCATGAAGGACAGGTACTGATGCAGTAAACGTTTTATTGTTAAGTTTCTAGAAGAAAGGTGCTTTATTTACAGGGAACTTTCGTGTAGGTGCCCTAAGTCTGTGGCTGCAGCTTAGAGCTTTGCAGATGCGTCTTCACAGTACTGATAAATAACAGAACCCTTTAAGCCCTTTCACTCCCAGAAGTGATCAACGTGTAATTTCTCCTTATAATACCATGAATTATTCAGGAAACAGGTAATGAGAATACACAAACCTATCAGTTCGAAGTTGTTGTATTGAATATACGTCTCCCGATCCTCTAGGGGAGGAGGAATGAAGCACCTTTTATGGTTTCTTGTCCCGTATATTTTACTATGAAAGAGGTTACACATGACGCTTACGGCAACGACTCTGCATTTTGGCGATAGATAAATAATTTTATTATTTAACGAGGGTTAACACACTTATCAATCATAGACTGATAAACCCCGTGGCCCTCCCTCTGTCATCCTTTCAGTAATTTTGCCTATTTTATCA